AGACCACTTGAGTGAAGGCTCGTCCATTGCGAGGGGTTCCGGGGACAACTTGGGTGATGCATCGTAGGATCCCTACGCATGTTGCTGGATCAGATTCTAGGGACGTTGCAAGGGCATTCTTGAAGGCAACTAATATTTGATACAGCAGGTCGTCGTCGACGTCAGACGTTGCCAAAACTCCCATAACGACAAAAGCCCTGGACTGGATGTAGCTGAAGTGGAATGCAGTGGAGATCACAAGGCTCATCCATCGCGCCCGCCAAACATTGATCAGATTAGAACCCGCTGGAAAGGTAATGGTTAGAAGGGTTAGGGATAGAGCTTATGACTAGATAAAATCAACTACACGTTACTCACATGATGAATGGGCACCGAGCGCTAGAGCTTTCATAAGGAACTTCGTTAGCTCTTCCAACGTATCAACGGATAACGTTTCGGATACAGTGTCGGGTACACCATAGTCTCCTACAGGTCCATGAGAGACTAATCCGAAATTGGCCAGTGTTTCCGCGCTATGGATTTCTGACAACAATTGCTTGAGTTTGGGAGCCACGGTAGGATCGTCGGCTTTGCTGACATAAAGCGACTGAATCAAGTTTACGGCAATTCCGTGGACCGTTACGCGCATCAATACGGGACCAGCTCCTGCCAGAAGAGTGATCAAATGTGCTGTCTCGGCCACGAATAACTGATTATGGGCTGGAATCCTCGAATTGTAGCCGACATAAAGGGCTAAACGCGTGATAGCCGCCACTTCGATCCAAGAATTGTTCGTAGTAAGACTTTGGGATGGTCTTAGATTGGTTTTACCGATAGCCTACTCTCATTAGCGACTTTGGGTCTAACTTGGAACTGGTACCCACTTTTCGTAATTTCGACAATATCTTCCCCCGTACGCTGATAGATGTTATTACGACCATTGTGTCGGCCATCAATTCGCAGCGACGCGAACCAATACCACCGTCACTAGCCGTACGAACGAGTTCATCTAGGGCAACAGACACAGCCCCTGGTTCGAGTTTCGCCACCTCGGCCCAGATAGTCTTGTGAATCACTGGCGCAAGCTATAGATATGGAAGGTGAATATAACGCGGTAGTGTTTGCGAGAATCACCCAACCTGTTCATCCTTAATCAGCAGATCAATGAGGATTCGGAAAGCATCGCGCAGCTTTCCACCAGCATTCATTGAGTGAGAGCCTGTTGGATCTGAAATGGTTGAAAGGTTTTTGATCCAGGGCTGTAGATAGTAGAGGCAAGTGGCTTTATGGGATAGTGATGATTTATGGAACC